TTTCATATTTGCTATTCTTTATATCTATTTCTGTTATTTTTCATAATTATTTCTATAATATTTTTTATTATTTTCTTTTCTATTTCTGTTTTTTTTTTCATATTTCTTCTTATTCTATAATATTCTTTTTATATAATCTTTTTTTATTATTCTTTTATTTATTTTCTTTCTTTTATATATAATCTTTTAAATATTATTATTTTTTATTTTTTATTCTATTTTTTTGAGATTTTATTTTAGATCTTTTATTCGATTATTTTCAAGTTTATCATTTTTTAATTATTATTTATAGTTTTTTTTTAATATATTTATTATTTTTTTTTAAATAATTTTTAATTATTAATTTTACATAAATATAGAGAATGAAAAAATTTGGGTTCAGTCTTTGATTTCAATCTTGGTAAGATCTGGTCTTAATTTTTAGGACTTAATTTAAACAGTTCCAATTTGGTCTTTATATAAATTTTAATAAATAATATATATTAAAATTTAATTTTACAGATATTTGTATATTGCAATTTAATTATAATCATATGAAATATGTAGATCAATTAAATTCTAATTAAATATTACATATTGCATCTTTTTATTATCAAATTTATGTTTTATATTATAAAATTATTCAGCAAAAATAGCTTATTTGAACTATGATTTTAAAGATTTGAATGATATACAATAATAAATTTAACAATATAGTAATAAATAGCAATTTAAATTTATAATATATTAATTATAATAAAATTATTAATAATAATTAAATAAAATACAATAAATTTAAATATTATAAATAATTAATTAAGATATTTGAATATAATACATATTTATGAATTTTAAAAGGTACTATACTATAAGGAATACATTAGTTTAAGAAGTGTATAATAAATTTTTAATGATCTAATAATATTGAATATTTAACTAAAAAGATATTTTTTAAAAAAAATAACATATACGTATTTACGTAATGTTTGTTAAAATAGTTGTTTACATTATTTATATTATTTATTTAATAAAAAAGAAAACATGATTGCGTTTTTAATAAAATTAAAAAACTATATATAGAAAAAGTATCTATAGAGATAAAAGTTAGAGTAGAGTTCAAGATATTAGTAGTAAAATTAGTTTTTTTGTGTAAAATACATGAAATTCAAGAAGGCTTTTACTTTTAAAAAAACTTTTTAACTACAGATCGTAATTTTTAAAAAAAAGTATCATTTGAAAGAGAAAAAAAAAGTACATAATTTAGCATTATTACAATTATTAATAAAATGAAAATTATGAAATAATGTTAATTTAAAAAATGAAAAAATTATAAGTTTTATAAAAATTTTTTAATCTTTTAATAAAAAATCATTGGTATTGAAAAGCTTAGAATTGGAAGAATTGAAAGATTCTAATAGCTTGTAATCTTAAAATATAATACTTTTAGAAGTATAATATTAAAATAAATATTATTTAACAGTCTGAACTTAGTTTTGATTATAGTTCTATATAAGTTATAGGACTTTCATAAAGATTAAGTCAATCTGTCTATATATTAGAACTAATAGGTCCTAGAACTTTAGCAAAACTTTAGTAGACCTTCCATACCCTACATAAATATATTAACAAATATACTATTTCTAATATTTCTTTAATTAATACTATTCTTTATTTTATTTCTTATTTATTTTTTGATTTATTATTAAGTAAAAGTTTTTATAATTCTATAAATAATGATATTTAATATGTCAAAGAAGAAGTACTCATCATTTTACTGTTGATTTTAACATATTAAAAAGATTTCCAATATTTTCAATATTTTATTATTATGTTTATATATTAATAAAAAATTAATTTATATTAAATATATTATATAAAAAGATTATTTTATTTATTATTTTCTTCTAAATATTAAATTTATATATAATTTCTCTTTATTAATTATATAGTAACTATTATATAATTAATTGATTTACATAATTTTTTTTATTTTTTAAAGTATAACAATTTTATAAAATCTTTATTATAATAATAGTAAAATATAAAATAAAATATAAATCAAAAGAAATTACAAAAATTTTATTCTAAAACTAATTTACGATTAAAATTAAAAAAAAAGACTGATCTTGTATTTTCCTAAAATTAAACCTAACTTAAATTAAATATATCACTTTTTTGAATAATATATAAAATAAATAGAAAAATAAAGAGTGTATAGTTACTATTAGACTAAAAATTTGATCAGCAAAATTTTAAATGTACTATGATACTTATAAAATTAAAATTATAAAAAAAAGAAGTATAAATAGAAAAGTTAAAGAAAAATCAGAAGAGAAGAAAGCTTTTTTTTTCAAAGTTATGTCGATATTAGAGGCCTTTTTATAGTCAGGTTGAACTTGATAAAGATTTATCTAAATTTTTTGTATAGATTTAAAAATAAAATATATAAAAGATAAACAAATAGCTTTTTATTAGGCTTATATTGCTAAGTTTAAAATAATAATTTTAAAAAGATAAGAAGGAACAATTCTTTTAATAAAAAAAAAAAAGGATAAGATGTTATATATAAAGAAAAACTAAAAGTCTAGTGCTTAATTTTATAATCATCTGCATTATTTATGAATTGTAAAAAGGATTTTGATTTTAATAATATTAATCATTTCATAATATACTATAATATAAATCTATAAGTGATAAAATCTTTATTATCAGCATTACTCTTTTTATATAAGAGTAAAAAAGAATACAATATTTGGTGTCTCTCTTTTAGATCTCCTAGTATATGAAGTATTTTTAAAAATCTTTGATATTTATTCTCTTAAGGAAAGATGTTGTGTATACTGTAATTAAAGTTATTTATTTAAACTCATTTTAGATTTGACAAAACGTTTAAACTATAGTTTTGCTAAATTTTTACTAAGATTTTAATATAGTTTCGCATTTTTATAAGCTTTGATATAATTTTACCTTTTTTAAAAATTCGCAGATTTTTAATAAAGTTTTAATATAATTTCACTAAATTTTATCTTTTCTATTTAGACAATTTGCAAAACCTTTAGATTTTGTTTAGCAACCTTAATTATAATATTTAAAGCAATATTATTATTAAAAATAAAAGAAATAATAATCTAATTCAGTTAGAAAATATAATTATATTTATAAAAATGTTAAATTTAGTTAAATTAGAGATATAAAACTTTTAAAATGTTTTTTAAATAAATTGACAAGAGGAAAATCATAATACAAGAAAAAAAATACTTAAGAATATAATAAAAATTAAATTTTAATATTGAAGAATATAAATTACTTTGTGTAAGTAAATCTACTTTATTATTATATTTATTATCTACATAAGCTTTAATTTTAAATAACGTAATATTAAGATTATTAGAAGAAATCATAGTAAAAAGATAAGACTAATATATATAATTGTTGATTTTAAGAAATAGTCAAAAGTTAAAGATTAAAATATAAGTTAATTGAAGTGATTAAATTGTAAAATAGTAACAGTTGAGTTAGTAAAGATTAATATAGTATAATTTAGAGATGCTATTAATAGGGCAGTAAAAATAGCTACAAATTCAGATAAAATAGATAAAGAGAAGGCTGTAAAAAAAGTTATTTTGAAGAAAACCATTAGTAAATCTGACATTTTTAAACTAATTTATATAATAAGATTTCTACTTTTATTAGTTTAAAGTATAAGAAAAGAACTATTAAATATTATATAATTTAATAAATTGTTCAGTTTATCTGCTCACTTATTATTTAAATTAATGCAATTTTGTTTACTATATTTGTCTGTTATGCATGTGTGCCTTATTACTGATTTTTTATTTTATAAATTAAATATTATTTTTTTGATAAAATAAATTCAGATTTAATATTAACTTAAAAATATTTTTTGGAAGTTTTCTTTCTTTTATTGTAAAGTTTTCATATAGTCATTATATTATGTTATATTAATATATATGTTATAATAGCCTTTATTTACTTTTATTTTTATATGTTATATTAATAAAGTATTTATTAACTTGACAATTTTAATTCTTAATATTTTCTATTTTTAAATAATCTTTATTTTTCTAAAAGATTTTTAATAAGTTAATTTAATTATTTGCAATTATTATATTTTTATTTTTGAAAACTTTTTGTAAAATTTTACCCTTTATTTTAGAAATTTTTTGAAATAACATAGATTGCTTAATGAAAAAGATGAATTTTACTTTAATAATTAACTTATTTATTTATTATTTATATTAAATAATAAGTATAATTTTGAGAATTTATACTATAATACAATTATTAGATAAAAAAGAAATAATATATTAATGATATATTTTTGCATTTTAGTAATAATAACTATAATATATTATATTTATTTTTATAATGAGTATTGAGTAATAATATATAATATACAGTATCTTATTTAATAATAGAAATAAATATATAAAATTAAATTTTAATATAAATTTAAGATATTATATATACAAAAAATTTTGTTAGTACACTTTAAATATATGGATTTTAAAAAGAGTTTATAAATTATCTTTAAATTATAACACACATCATATAAATCAAGAAAATTTAAAGGTGAAATCTTCGATCTTCAATATAGGGTTCCATTATTAATTGTAGACCTACTTGGCATTAAAATTACAAGAAGTAAAATCTTAAAAACAAATTAATCTATTTAAGTTGTGTAAATCAAAAATAATTTAACTTTATGAGATTTAAACAAATATCTCTTTTTTGAATAAACAAAAAAATGGAAATGCTGTTAATTAAAAAGAATATAAATACGAATTATAAATAGTAAATCAACGATCGATAACTTAAAAGGCATGAAAATTTTTTCTTATTTAAGTTCGTTCAATAAAATATCGGCCATTTAAAATATTTCTCGAGTCCGCTTATAGTAGTATTACCCGAAATTTTCTCGAATATAAATTAAATCTTAAATATTAAAATATAAAAGTCAATTCGTAATCTATTTCTTTTCTTCTTCAGGATTTTCGAATATGAAAAATAGACCCTTTCCTTTCGTTGTAATATTTCTTGCGATTTACCTTATACTTACATATATGCTATGTTTTCCACCTAGTGATCAATTGGTCTATGAGGAACAAAAAAATGTTGTTGATGATGATGTAACAAGTTCTTTTTCAAGTCCTTCAAGTTGTTTAGTTCCAAATGATGATGTTAATTCTAATGAGGAAAGATACATGACATACTTGCCACATAGTGGATTTCATAATCAAAGAAATAGTCTTGAAAATGCGGTTTTCTTATCATGGATGTTGAATCGTACATTGATCATGCCACCAATCCTTTTTTCCAAGAAGAACTATATTCCTTATCGTCCATTTGAAGTTTTATATGATATGTTAAATGGTAATTTAACTAAAAGCACGAGGTTATGTGAGATCAGAGGTGTTGAGGATCAAAGTTGTAAGTTTACGCAATTAGATTGGGAAGAATTATTGAATTTTGAATTTATAAAGAAACATATTCGTTATATTTATCGTAATGATACGAAATTTGATGTCAAAGAACTTTATTCTTATTTAAATATTACGAACCCTGAAACTCAAGTTTACACATTGGCAGACGAAACGAGATATGATTTTCAATATTATGATGACGAGAATATCACTCAAGTATCAAATGAGAATTTCAAATATCTGATTCATTTGTGTTCCTTACGAAAACGTAAAGACAAACTTATACACTTTGGTTCGATTTATCATACTCTTAGATTTAATTTAAAATATCAAGAGAATATTGAATTTATTAACTCTGTTAGAGAAAGCATGATAATTAATCATCCTGCTTTGTTGGACGTTGGCGAAAAGATTTCCAAACAATTAGGTGGAAAAGGTGCATATATTGGCGTACATATGAGATTAGGTGATAATGGTTTGGATAGAAAATTCGGCGCGAAAGCGGAAGAAAATGTGGATCAAATCATAAAGAAATTATTAAATGAATCTCAAACAACTCCATTGGATGTTGGCGAAGTTTACTTGGCAAAAGATTTATTTCCGGAAGGAACTACTATATATGCCGAGGAATGTTTACGGTCAATTACTCCGGAGCAACGTCATTTACCTATCATTTACCTTGCTAGTGATAAACCTCGTAAAGATCCGAGAATAAAGAAATTCCTTAGAGAATTTCCTTGCGTATTTATGCTATCTTCAAATTTTACAAAATATTTAAGTGCATTAAGAAAAATAAAAAACCCTAGAGATGGTGCTTTATTATTTCAATACTTTGTTCCGTTCATTGATGGGATTGTAGCCGCGAGAGGTGGTAAATTTATTGGCACACCCGAAAGTACCTTTTCAGATTACGTTGATCGATTACATCACAGTTGGGTTGGGTCTTAACTTTTTTTTAAGCTTGTATATATACTGTAAATCAATTAATTATCTTAATTATAATAATTTTTAATAACATTACATATTTGCGAATAGATTTTTTTTTTTTTCCTTTTCATTTAAATATTTAAATAATATATGTACATGTAATGATCAATTAAATTAAAAGGAAATATTGCAAATAAAAGGTTTAGGTATTTTTTTTTTTTGCACGCTTGCGTGATTACCCAATTAACCTATTTATTTCTTTGATTGGTTCCCAAGTTTCCCCGCCATTGCCGGTAATTATGGTCATCAAGATCACGTTCTGATGGTGTAACCGATAAGTTCAATCTAAAATCTGATGAAAAGAATTTTGTAATGCTACAAGTCTTTTGAAATGTTATCATCTTTAGCACGAAAATTTTGTCCGATAACTTCACGAATACAACAAGTATTTTCTACGAATGGATTTTCTCCATTCGGACTTTTAAATCATCAAAAGTAAGGTAAATAATAATGACATTTTACGATACGAAAAAATTATCTTTATTTATTGAATTTTTTATAAAAAAAGTTTTCCAAGTCAAATTATACCACCATCACAAGCAACGAATATTTTTGGAACTCAAGTTCGTTTCAGAGCTTATGGAAGAGAATATCAACCAAGTAATTTAGTTAGAAAACGCAGGCACGGATTTTTAGCAAGATTAAAAAGTAAAACGGGGAAAAAAATTCTTGCAAGACGACGATTAAAAGGTCGTAAATATTTATCACATTAGTTAATATTAAACATCTCCAAGGTTTGTTTTGTAAGATTATCATTCGTATACTGATAGAACGTTTAACACAATAATAACAATTTACAAATCTTTATTATACCGTATTTCTTAATACTAACAAGGAAAGACGAAAGAATTAGGATTAATATTATTAATACGAGAGAAAAAAAAATCATATTAAATTAAAAATCTGGAAATTACCGAGAATGACCGAATCTCCACGTAAAAACATCTTGCTAATGAATCTATCTTTGTTAACCGGCTTAGCCTTCTTACCTTTACCGGCTTTCGGTGTTTCTGTCCACATCTAAAAATAAAAATTCGAAATTTAATTATAAATGAATCACATAATGATATGAAATGACTTTGTTGGCAATGTACCTCTTTAACATTCTCCAATACCATGTTACAATGTCGATCGAATGCTTTCACACGAGCGAGCAATTTTCGATTATTCCTGCAGTTTACCAAGATTTGAGTATTATTCTTGACAGATTGTTGTAAAACTGATAAAGGTCCAGTGTTAAATTCATGCTCCTCAAGTTGACGGAGCTCTTCCTCTGTCATTTCCGCTTTTGATTTTCCTGCAGTACTATCAAAGTATGAAGGTTCATTAACAATAAAGTTCATAAAATTTGAGAAGCCATGCGGAAAATCAAAATTGATGGTTTTGATATGGTTTGACAGATTTCTAGAAAACTAGATCTCGCAACCTTTTCTATGATATTTTGGATAACTAGAGAACCAAAAAACCTCTAAACATAATTTAATATTTAATTACCTCATGATTGGTAACCTTTTGGTAAAAAGTAATGAAGTTAAACGTTTGGTTTCGTGAATATTGTATTTATCATTAAAAGTATTTAATAGTTTTTAATGCAATGCACACGTTTATTGGTCACATGATGTTGCTACAAATTGTACCAATCAACATCTGCATCGTTGGCAGCTTTTCATTTGTAGTCATTATAAATAAAAACATTCCTCCTCCTTCGTTCTCTGATTTTTTTATTTTTTTTTTTCCTCAACATAAATTGATAAATATGGCTATAACAAATTTTGCTGCAGTACAAAGATTATGGAAATCATATCAAAAAGAAACTCCACAAGTTCTTAAAATGATTGATGCATATTTAGTTTACATTTTATTTTCTGGTATTTTTCAATTTATTCATTGCGTTTTGGTGGGACTTTATCCATATAATGCTTTTCTTGCTGGATTTATTTCAACCGTAGGATCATTCGTTTTGGCTGGTAAGTTTTAAAAGGTAATTTTTTTTTGAATTGGATTTTAATCTTATTTTCTTATTTTTTTTTCTTTTATTTTTTTTTTTTAGTAAATTTACGGATACAAACTAATCCAGAAAATAGTAATGAGTTTAAAGGAATTTCCCCAGAGAGGTACGATTGCATTTTTTTCATTTTTTTTTTTTTTCTTTCGAATTTTGATGACTTACACTTTTTACTAATTCACTTTTCATTTTAATTAGAGCCTTTGCTGATTTCGTTTTCTGCAGCATAATTCTCCACTTTTTTGTGGTTAATTTTATCGGTTAAATAATCCGAATTTAACATGATAATTTTGATCATTTTAAAAAATTAAAAATTTTTTTTTAAAATTATTAAACTAAATTGTAGAATAAATTTATTAATGCAAAAAATGAAATGAATAAATAAATAAAGGACTCGAAATTAATGAATTAAAGGTTCTCTAAATGAGAGGAAAAAAAAATAAAATGAATAAATAATTGTTAAAACTTTACATTTGATTCTAAAATGATAAATACATTTGTGATTCTAAAATGATAAATTCTAATATAAAAAATGCTAATATGAATAAACTGATCAATTAATTACAGTGAAATAAATGAAGTCCCGAAGATATTGTTAATTCTATAATGAATTCTTGATTCTCATTTTTGGAACTTGCAATTCTACACTTTCAACTCCATTTACCATTACCAAAGCTTCTTGTAACCTTGTCAAGTCAATATCATTATTTTTCTTTACGCGAACTTGAACAACATCATTTAAATGACCAACTCTTCCAAGATATTCTATTTCGGGAATTCTAAGAGAGAATCTTGCAAGGGTAATCGTTGGACACGGTTCTGGTACTATGCTTGATAAATTTAATGCGAAATAATAATAATTTTCGAAATCTGATTTAAGAGGCATGTTTTCTACAATGCTAGTCATTTTTTGTGGGGGGTTTTTTTTTTCTTTTAAAAAAATTTGCGAAATTATTTTTAAAGGTTTGGAAATAGATTTTATCTTTAATTAGATAGCGATGATTTTATTAAGAGAGAAAAATATTTTGTAGTGATATTTTTAGTGATATTTTTTTGAACGAAAAAAAAACGAATGTTTATATAAATTTTTAAATTTTTAAAATTTTTAAAATTTTTAAATGGAACCAATTAAATGAATGGACCAATTATTGAATAGGGAATGTTCCATCCGACGGAATTTTGTTGATACGCCCCGTGGCTTTTTCTATTTTGATAGAATAAAACTTTCCAAATGGAGTTTCCCTCTATTGGGTTCAATTGTTCTTTCGAAGGATGCAAACAGCTTGGTAAGCCAATATGGCTTGATTATCGTCTTTATCAATTTTGGTAATATTTGTATAGTTCATAATGTCAATAAGGAAGGAGATTTGATACGTTCTATTTTTATCTAAACTCGCTTGTCAAAGAGACTTTTTACCTTTTTGGTGTGGGAGTTGCGGAACAAAATATTGGTATGAATTTCCTTAAACTATATCATTAAAGGAAAATATTACCTTTTCCTTTTACCTTTCCTATTACCTTTTCCTAATAGAAAACATAAATAATGAAATTTATATAATCCTAGTTTGGATCATAGATACCCTACCTCTCATCATTGTGAACGTTGGAAAGAAAATGAAAAGGTGAGTTTAGGTTCATTGTCAAAATACAATCAATTAAAAATCATCACCACCTGACCTTGATTAAAAAAATTTTTTTTTAGAATGTTCAATTCTGTGAAACTTGTTCCTCCATGATTTTAAAACCTGAAGGAAAATCTTCCGAAGATGCCGTAAGGGAGATTCTCTCTCTTTTTTTTTTTTATTCATTCCTTTAAAAGAAATTTTTTAAAAAATTATTAAAACCAACCCTAGTTGAAAGAACATTCGCAATCAAATTGCACGTTGCATCTCTTATCCTCTGTGTATTCCACCACGAAAAAAAAGTGTTTTATAACAGAATGTAGGAATGTTTCAGAAGGTGGTGTAAAGGTTTACGTGATATGTGATGGGTGTGGAGAAATGTTTTGTTTAAAGTGCGTGTTTTGTTTTGTTTTTGTTTTGTTTTGATCTTATGATTTAAAATATGGAATCGGAATAACCAATATGTTTCATTATTCCTTTTCCTTTTGTTTCAAAATAATAATAATAATAATAATAATAATAATAATTAAGACACCGACATCCACCAGCTCACCAATGCGCATCGCTTAATATAGCTTTTGAAGAAAAAGCAAAAAGACGTATTATGGCAGAAGAAATGATTTCGAGATACATAAAGAAGTCTAGCAGTGATAAATTCAAGTCTGATGAGATCGTTTCTTCATCATCGAAAAGTACGACGATAACAAATAAACCAAAGAAGAAGAATAAAATGATTGAAATGATGAAGTTGAAATCCAAAGCTCAGGTATGTCAAAACGTTTATGTAATCTAATATTAAAGAATTGCATGATGATTAATCCATCCATTTTTCATTGTAGGGTGATTCTTCTATACCCGCGAATTCACGTATATATCTTTCAGTCGACTTCCCAAGTGATTCGAAAGTGCCCAACAAACCAATGTTTTTCAATAAAGTACCTCCTATTTTTAGTACCATTTTTTTTTATCTTATCATTTTCACATTCATTTATTATTTACTTTTCTGATTATCAGGAGTGGACCGTTGGTAAATCCCTTGATAAGATAGCAACAACTGGCAAGATCAATAATATTAATAATAAACTCACATCGGATGATCCAGAAGTAAGCGTGATTTTTAGTTGAAAAATTCTTTTTGGATTTAAAGTTAAAATGATTTTTGATCTCCTACTTTTATCATAGAGATTAATCTTAGTCAATAATGAAACCAAGAATATCTTACAAACGGATAGAAAATTAGGCGAGGTTATTGAAAACGGTGACAATATTTCCATAGAAAAGTTTGGATTAATCAATAAATAAATAATCATTTTTTTTTTAATTGTACTTTGATGGAATAAATTACGAAGATTTATTTATTATTTATACAAATGAAAAACCCATTATTCAAATCATTTTATTTACGAGAATACTTTTAAAGTTTTATTTTTTTTTTTTTTAAAAAAAAAAAAATTTGAAATGAAAACATATTTGAAATGAAAATATATGTATATATATATTATTATTACTATTGTTTTTTTTTTTTTTTTTTGGTTTTTTTTTTTGTTTATTTTTTTTTTTTTCAACTATGTATAAAAAAAACAAAATACTTAAGGTCGAAAATAACAGTATTTCATTATTTTGTAAGTAAAATAAATAATGTAAAGTGTCAAATAATACAAAAGGAAGGAAAGTAAATTTACAATGAAAAAAGGGGGGAGGGGATGTTGTAATTTAAGAAGCATTTTATATAATATAATTTTTTTAATAGAAAATATATATATGTATATATATATATAATTTCTTTTTTGTTAGAAAGTTCATTTTTGTTTTATTGAGTTCCATATTCCCACAGATTTATATATATATATATATTTGTTGTCACACCTCTATACCCAAGAGAATTTATTTTCCTCTGAGAGAATATGCAATTTTTTTATTTCTTTTATTTTCTTATTTTTTTTATTTTTTTGACCACTTCATCGTTCACACCATTGATGTTCCAATATTTGAGAGATTGTTAAACGTTGATCAGGTTTTGTTTTAAACATTCCTTTTAACAAATCTTTTAATTCATCACTAACTCCGGCAAAATCCAACATACTCTCATCGTAACGTCCATTAAGAATTTTCAATTGTAACCTCGGTTCAAAAGAATCGGAGAATGGCAATTGACCTGTGATCATGGCAAATAAGACCACCCCTAAACTCCATATGTCAACAGAAGCATCTTTAAGCGGGGTGGGAGATCTTAACTGTTCAGGCGCACAATAAGCTAGTGACCCTCCTACTAAATCGTTATATAATATATTATTAAATCCATTCTCTTCGTTTTGAAACTCTGTTAAGCCAAAATCACAAATTTTCCATGTATTTTCTTTATCCAATAATATATTGTCTAATTTAATGTCTTTATGGACAAGCCTCATATCATTATGAAGGTATCTTATTGCTTCCGCTATTTCCAAGAAGATGTTTCTTGCCTCATCTTCGTCCAATCCTTTTCCTTCGCATAGACCATGTGTTTTGATATACTGTAAAAGTGTTCCTCTCGGGCAATACTCCGAAAATACGAATGTAGCGTAATCATTTTCTTCAAATGATAACATTGGTACAATGTTTTGATGATCAAGTCTAGCCCAAATTGCGATCTCCCTTTCAAGCAATGCCTAAATAAAAATAAAAATATTATTATCATCATCATTATTATTTACCAAATTTGTAAAAAAAAAAAAAAAAAATATCTCACCTGAATGCGATCATTATCTTGAGATTCAGGATGATTCCTTACGATTTTGACCGCAACAGATTCCATAGAACCTGAATAACTATTCATCGTATAAGCTTGCTTAACGGTGGAAAATCCACCACGTCCGATTACTTTTCCAATGATGTACTCTCCAACTTGTTGACCTTCTTCATCAGGCAAGGGTTTTTTGGTAGAATGAGCAAAATTGGACAAAAACATGGCAGCGGGAGACCACGGCGTTTCCGCATCGTAAGGTACAATATCAGGTAGAGAACGTGATTCGGTTTTAAAATGGACCTCATCACTAGAGAGAGTTTTCGATTTTTGCCTAATTTCCCAAGGATTAATATTTTGTGGAAAGTTTTGCTGCTTGGCAAGCGCGGGACTAAGCATATCAATCGAGGAATTTATAGATGAAGTTGAAGAACACGGAGATAGTGATGGGGGGTCACAAGGGGATATAATGCTTGATACGGATGTGATTGATGATGACATGGACATCACTGACATCTTACGATTGTCATTTTTCATGACTTCGTCATCGTCGTCGTCATGAGGGTGAACATGAACGGTTGGTATACCTTGATCAGATTCGTCTTCATTTTTAACCTCGGGTATAGGGTTATTATTACTAAAAAAGTTTATGGCATTTAAATTATCCTCTGTCTGTTTGGTATTCTTAATATAATAATCCATTCCTTTGGCTGGTGCGGAGGCACGTCGATAGGCTCTTAATTGTTTCGCATTGTACCTAGGTTTTTTCACCTCATCCCCTTTTGACTCATCGTCAGGACGCGCAGTAATTTTGCCCTCAGTTCGAGTACGTCGATGTTGATTTGAATCGATGGCGAATTTTACACGAGGACTGGTTTGTGTAACCTCACTCTCATCACCTTGACGGGGTGACATTTTCGTTGGATGATAATTCTTGTTAGTAACTTCCGTGTTAATAGAAAGTCTCGGAAGTTCACGTAAATTTCTTCGTTCAGCCGTCATAGCGGCTGTGTGAGAATCAGTTGGCGTACCAGGTCTAGCAAAATTTAAAATTTCACAATGATGTTGACAATGATGATCTCCTGACATCTGATAAACAAATTGTGTTGTGGTGTTTTGTTGCCAAATACGCATGATAAGAAAAAAAAATAATTAAAAAGTATATATATATATATATATATATAAATTATGTAGTCACAAGGAGAGATTGTATGTCACGTGTTCGAAAGGGTATTTTTGGTTTCAATTACAAAGAGACGAGGATCAAATAAGTTTTATTGTTTTCGTGCTTCAATAATTATTTCAAACGAAACCAGTTCTATTTGATATCAAAATTCTCTCACTCGTTCAGGATTTTTTTTTTTTTTTTTTATTAATGATCACAATGAATTAAATGTTCTATTTTTTTTTTGTGTCGTTGGCAATCAAATACTTGATGTTTACTTTCAATTTATGAAAGCGTCTATAAGATAAATAAAAAAATAATGTGTCGTTAGATTCAAAGGTATTGAAAAATGTGATAGTTTTAAAATATTATGTCCGTTTTTAAGGAAGGTTTCTTTTTTACTTCAAATATTTTTACTGAATAAAAAAAAAAAAATTGAAAGCAAAAATAAATTACGAACAAAAAATCAAGAAAAAATTTTATGAAGGGTGGGGATTATTTATACAAAAAAAAAGAATCATTCATGATATCATGATTATAAATACTTACAGGCAATATAATTTTTTTTTTTTGGTCCGTTATAGTTAAGGCTCGTCAGCAAAAAAAAAAAAATTTTTTTTTTTAATGCGATTATCGGTCGAGCCAAAAATAAAAAATATTCTCTTATATTGAAAGGGGTAAAAACCTCCTTTAATAGGTTTTTTTATTGGTTTATCGTAAATATTTGTGGGAAGATTGGAATAATAAAACCTTTGAACCGTTTGAGGTGCAAATAAAATTTCTTAAAATGTTGTTCTTCCAACAAAAAGAACCACGAGGTTTTTTCAAAAAAGCTTGTGGGTTAGACTTTCGTAAAGATATTCGTTAAAACTTTAAAAAAAATTTTAAAAAGTCTTTTGGAATAATATATTATATATATATTTGGATATATACAATAGAAAAAAAAAAAATTTTTTAAAAAAAAAAAAAAACGAGAGAATTTTCTGTGAAAATATAGAAAGCAGAGAAACAGAGAAAGCGACTCATTTTTATATAAGGTATATAATAGGCAAAATAATGCAAGAAAAAAAAAAAAAAAAAAAAAAAAAAATTTTTTTTATATTTAGTAAATCATACACAGTAGTATTATTATATTGAATTTGAATGATTGACCAATTCATTTTTTATTTTGATGATGGAATAGATAAGTCTAGTGTAATAATAAAATAATAATACCATCCATGTTGGTAACACTTTACACTACAGTTTCTTTAATAATTTGTATCTAGTAGATAATGAAGATCCAACTTGCAATTATAATTGGCTTACGCCGGAGGTGGTGATTGTTCGGGATTTAATTTATATTATGCACTTTATATGTGATGATTTGAAACCGAATGGGTGATGCTATCGTGTCAAAGGTATGAAAGGGAACGACAAAATGATCATGAAAACGTGGATTCATTTACGAGATAAAGTTTACAATGCTTACAACCATGAGAATATGTTCTTTTTCTTTTATTGTGCGTAAGAAAGTCAAATCCCCCATGAAAATCGGGACCTTTTGAAAAAGAGTTCAATTAATTAAAATAATTGATTCACGTCAAAAGAAAGCACGCAAAAGATTTATGGTTTGTAGATTTCCTCAAATGGACATTATTAGTAGTTTGTCAAATGTCAAATTCTCGGCTAAGCCAAATCAATGAAATTATTTTTTGCTTTTTTTTTTATTTTTTTTTTATTTTTTCTTTTTTTTCGACGTGTGATTTTCAAAATTAAAAATTTAAAACGTGCTGAATAGTACGAAAGTCAAAAAAAAAAAAATAAATAAATAAATAAAATTCCGATCATGGTGCAGGGTAACAATACATCTTATTCCTCAATATGAAGTTTATTTGCAGAGAATTAAAAATTTTTTTTGGTTTTTTTTTTTTTTAAAAAAAATAAAAAGGGGACATCCCTTCCGAAAAAGTACACGATTCTCCGAACAGAAAGGAATCGAGAAATTATGAATAATTTACTCCTTTAAAATTACAATGAAAGAAATTTAAGAAATATGGTTTTTAGGGTTCTGTCAAAAGAACATTGACAGGTGGTTCATAAAAAAAAATAAAATAAAATAAAATTTAATGTTTAAAGATATGCGTAGAATAAATAGAAAAATTAATAAAACGGAATCGCGTGGTATGATTGTATAACATTCGTTTATTATACGAAAAGATAAGGGAATTTTTTTTTGATTTTATTATTAAAAATAAAAAATAATAAAAAAATTTTTTATATCACCTTATGGGTGTTACATAAACATTACCCATTATTTTTTTATTACATAATAAGAATCAGATTTTCCTATTTATTCCGCAAGGAAAGGGGCTCATCAAACGAGGAAAGACAATCAAATTCATTATTTTTTTAAACTTCTTTCAAATCATATTTGGGTTCTTTTGGCTATCTTTATGTAACATACATAATACATATAATGATTTGGGCAAATTTATGATTTTGGCGAATAAATGATGAATAAAAGAAACCATCAAAGACTTCATCTTCCGCAGCACATTTGATTTTACTGATAAACTTGGTTTTTTTATGTTATTACACTTATTACACTACAGTATAAAAATCTTGTGAAAGTGGTTTTTCGCCGCAAAAAAAAAAAAAAAATGAGAATAACTCAGCGATGATTCGGTATAGATAACAGCTTTCATGCTTTAACCAAATAAATAAACGGATAGTCCAACAAACTGATATGCCTTTTTTGGATTAATCTAGTTTGATTGTTTTCAAAAAACACTGTAATTTTATTGGTTATGGTTTCAAATCATTCCAGATAAATAAATTTTCAAAAGCCCAGATATTTCATCCTCTAACTAAAAGTGAAATGTATCACCCAGAAAAACTTAATTCCCAATTAAAAAAGAACCTTTCATCATAGAAATTGGCTATTTGCACATTACATCTATTGCATAATTTTTAGTAAACAATATACGCATGCATCATGGTCGTACAATAAATTATATATTAAATACTTAAATTACTGATTATTTTGATTATTTCATGATGAAACAGCATATGGTATGTTGTCATTTCCATTTAAAGTTATCATATCTTTTGGTGTCACGGACGTCACGAGACGTCGCGGGTTTTTCTAGACCATACTCACTATACTCGCTACTAAGGTCTGTCGGGAAAATGCGATTGCCAAGGGAAGAACCTTGCGATTTTGGTAAACCAAAGGCCCAGCGAAACGTTATTGGAAATGTATTTGCGATCTTTTGATTTTAGGCTTAGAATGACGGATATCCTGTGCCACGTATGGTGGTAGTATTACGCCATCCATCAGTCATATGACTGCTCCATGGTTTGAAAATCACAACACTCTGCAATTCTAACCAATTAAATGCCGCCTAATAAGTGAGTCTTTTCTTTACATACAAAGATTGTATGCACTGTGTGCACTTGTTTCCTTTTTAGTTACCTACTCTATAAAAAAAAAAAGATTCATACGCGTTATCAATGGATAATCTATCTTTTGCGGGGAAATTCCCAAAAGAAAACCCAAATTACATGAGTGCAAAGAATCTGATAAGACATATTTTTATATTCTAGTCTTTTTATGAATCGCTTCCCTTTTTTTTTTTTTTTTAATTTAATTTTAAATTTTGGGTGAAAATTTGAAAAAACAATAGTCTCACTTTTAAGTATTTTTGTTCTGTGACATATCATTCATATTCTTGGAGTTTCAATACATCATAGAAAAAAAACGCCCAAGATTGTATTTTTCCCATAATTGGACAATATATCGTATATAATGATTACATTTGTTTTCCCAAGTTATCCTTGAATTTAATTTTCACACTTTATCAAGATTTCTTACAATTGGGTATGATCAACACTTACTCCATGGGAATTCTTCATCCGATACGTTTTTCGTGCATGATTACACAATGAAATTTGCTGCGAGAGATACGTACATCGATTCATGATTCGTCATTTTATGTACCTGGAACATTCTTTCTTTGGAAAAACCTGTATTTAAAGAACAACGTGAATTCCTATTTATATTATAAAATACCCAATCCTTTGATAAAATAAATAATTTGACTCTTCAAAATCCAAAAATAAATTTAAGGATCATTATAACAATCGGGGTTTTCTTGGTTTTTTTTTGCCGAGAAACCCTTACTTACGAAATTTATGACGTAATTTTTTTATTTGCTGGGTTCCTCAAACGCTGAGGGGGTGTACTTTTAATCCCAATTGTCTTAACCAATTTTGTTACAATTTTGATTTTTTGATACCAGAATTATCGGAGATTTTTCCCAAAGATAATTTTTGACAAAAATCTTATCTTTATTGTTGAGCTCAAGAATTTGATTATATATATATATAAATAAAAAAAAAAAAAAAAAGGTAATTCCTGAAAAAAAAAACCCCCAAAATGGTACTTATCACAATAATCCATCACAAAAGTTATCAACCAAATTTTTTTTTACCATCTTCCTCAACTTGGTAAGAACGAGTTGGAAGAAATAGCTATAAAGATACTAATCATTTATAGAGCGTGGAACGATTGTTTAAAAATAGCAATAATCTTTAAAATATAATAATAATAATACATTAAATAACGATGAAAGGTCGATAACGATGAAAATTCACTTATTGTGGTCGATTATATTCTTAAAATTCCTGATACGGGAATTTAAGGTCTTGTTTTTTAAACTAAATAAAGCCTCCTTACGAAATCGATTTTTGTTTTTGGTTTAACGTTAGATAACATTTAGATAATAAAGTTTAGGTAAAATTTAAAAAAAAAAAAAATCCTTTTTGGTTAAGTTCAAAAAATTCGTCATATGTGCTAAATAAACTCGGAGAAAAATAAAATCCTTAAGTTTACCAATTAATTTTCACATGTATTCAATTATTTTATTTTGCACGTGCGCGTGTGAGAACGACGATTATATTTGATTGAATTTCATTGGTTAAAATCATGCGATATTTTTTATTGGATCATCTAAATACAATTATTTTCGTATAAAAATGGTGAAAAAGACCTTTGGGGTAAGATGTTTCATGATCTTCCTGATAATCACGAGTAAGTATTAAGGCATGGAAGAAGAAAACTTTAGATTATACTCAATGATTAAAGTATTTTCCTGCTTCCAGAATCAAATCATGTTGATAGTAACATTATCACCAAGATCGATGAGAGCCATTTTTTCTTTTTTTTTTTTTTTTTTTTTTTTTTTTTTACATGAAAATCATTTATTTATTCTTTTTTGTGTGTTAAAATCTTTTCCTTTAAATTTGAATCTCTGTCCGTAATAGTGTGCAATATATGACAGGCGGATGGTTGACCAGACTTCCCGAGAATCACTCTCGCAGAGATCTTAAATTCTAAATGATTTAGGTGAGCGATAATTAATAATTTTTAACGAATCAACATTTTTGCTATGATGAGATACCTCTTCTTAAGGAGAGATCAGCAAAGGAAACCTTTTAACGAGGGTATGCCCTCCTTTGCACTCTCCTAAATGCCGAAAATACTAAGTTTATGAGCATTAATCAAAAGAATTATTTTACATTTATTTCATTCATTGCATCAATTGTTAACCGTTAATATTATTTCAATACAGGACCCTTATTAACTTATGTATATGTATTGCCTGGACTATTCTTTTATGGATATTTAAGATTCACCCTTTCGTTCTGTAAGTTATAAGGTATGGACGTGAATTACTATAATATCTCCTTTGAAGTTAAATAAATATATGCTTTTTACAATGATGAGAAAAGTTCTTCTTACGGAGATTTGTTAAAGGTACCTTTAATCAAAGGGTGTCGGCTTTCTCCTGGATGTGGAAAATCAACTCTCTTTCTGAGCTTAAATCGCTATTGTTGACGATCAAATTATTATAGTGTATGCCAATTAATAAATCTTTTCCGTTTGTATTTTAGGCACAATTCGAGGTTGCTTTGTTTATAATATTTAAAGGTTTTCTTGACGATGTTATTTGGTAACTTGAATTTTAATAAAATGGCAATTAAGATTTATGCTCTTTAAAAAATATAAATGTTGTTGTTCGTGAAATTTACATTAATGTTAAATGTTGTATTTATTTTTTAGGTTTCTGACGGAATATAGTAATATCCTCCCTTCATGCAAGTTATGACATGTCACGTTTACAGAACATTTTATCTAGATGATAATTCGTGCGGTTGAGTGGTTCATAGATTCTTTGATATTAGTAATTTCTGGTTCACGATGAAACTAATGGTTGAGAATCGTTCCATTCATATAATAAATCAATGAGCTTTTTTTCATTTATTTTAATATGTTGCTTACCTTTTTTACGATTTTCATATAATATTAAAGAGATTATCAAAATTTGACGAACTATTTATAGCAATTTTTAGTGATTGCATTGCAAAGTCAACGCCGAGTTGATACACACAAAGTTAGTCTTTTTTTCTGATGTCCAAGCAAATGTTTCTTCCTAATCCCAAAATTACAGTAAATGAAAAAAAGATGAAAATTTTACAGATACCATGAAGATTTATTATATTATATAATTATATAAAAGCAGTAATTTCTTATCATCACCAGTGTGGTTGTTGCTCGGGGTAAATACTTTGTAGTTAACGCGTCCTTATATGAATGGCTTGAAACCGCCATAATCTGTGATTTTCGAAGAGCTAATGAGTAAACAGAAGGTCCTCAATGAAATTGCCTGATTTCATATAATCCGTCCATAAAGTTAGATCATAGGTTTTCTATAATCAGATAGACCAATTTTAAAAAAAAGTTATTAGGATATAAAAAATCTTGTTACATGTGAGTTCATCAGGAAATTTACTCCATAATCAACGTTCGATACACGTATGTAGATCAATCGTTCGATAAAAAGGATCATCAAGAATTTCAAGATTAATTAATCGATTACAAACTGTAAAATTATGAAAAATTACTGAGGAAGCTTTAATGAATTATTTGTATTAGATAATTTACTTTCTTATCTTCCCTATTAAAATTTCTTTTTTTTCTGAAAATCACGTAACTCCTTTAGATTTACGTTTTTTTTTGTTTTTTGATCCTTGATATCAATGCAAAATATTTTAAAATTTTAAAAGGATTCTATGGTTCTATATAAATAATGTGACTAATCCATATGCTGGCTTTTTATAAATCCTATCTTAGATTTAACAAAACGTTTAAATCTTTAGTTTTGCAAATCTTTTTTTTTTTTTGGTCATGATTTCTACCTTTTTATTGAATTAGTTAACCTAAAATAAATCATATATGAAAAAGATCAAGATCTTTTATTTTAAACTTTAAAAATTGATTGTTTTATTTTATATATAATTTTATAATTTTATAAAAAAAAAAAAAAACTATAAAAATTAAATTTAATATTACATACCTATGTTTAATTATTAAATAATTAAAACTTTATTTTTATTTATAAATTATAAGAATATTATTTAATAATATTATTATAATTAAATTTAATTAAATTCAAATTTTTTTTACTTAAATTAATTAAAAAGTTTATCATAATATTTATTTAACATTTAATATTTAACAAAATATTTAAAATTTAAAATTAAAAAATAAATTCATTTTATATTTAAAATTAAATGATTTAGTATTATTATAATAAATAGTAAATATAAAAAAAAAATTTTTTTTTTAAATAAAATTTATTTATTATAAACACTAAATATTATTATTTTTTAATTACTATTATTTTTATTATTAAAAATAATTAAATAATTAAATATTTATTATAATATTTTAAATACTATAATTAATATTAATATAAAAATTTATTAAATATAAAAACTTAATAAATTTATATATATTTATTTATTTAAAAAATTTTATAAGTGTAATTTTTTATAAACATGTAAAATTTATATATTATTATATATTATTATATATTTTTAAACAAATTTATACATAATATTACTATGATTTTACATATTAACTTATAAATTTATACTTAATAAAATTTTCAGATATTATATTTAATAAATTATAATAAAAGAAGATATTTTATTTACTTTATTAAAAATTTAAAAATAATTTTTTGATAAATTTAAATTTAATCATGAAATTTATATAACTTATAATTCTTTTTTGATACTTAATTAAAATATATAAGATTTATTATATTAAATTAAACTTTATTTTTATAATAAGTAAAATATTAATTAATTAGCTATCTTTTTAATTAATCATATTTTTTTTTAAAATTTAAATGTTATATTTAAATTTTATTTTATTTAATAAGTAATTATTAATATAATTTAATTAAAATTTATTGATTTATTTTTATTATAGTGATCAAACTAAATTTATTAGAATAAATTTATTAAAGATTAATTAAATCTGCTAATTATTAATAAAATTCATTAATAATTAAAATTAAATTTTTGTTAATAATTGATAAAATTTGTTATTTACTAATAAAATTTATTATTTAAAATATAATAATTATTATAAATAATAAAAAAAGTAAATTTCATATTTAAAAATTTTTAAATTTTTCTAATTATTTTTAATTTTATATTTGATTTTTTAATTTATTAGA